ATTAAAAATGTTATTTTTTAAAGTATATATTATTTATAAAAAATAACCCCTCCTCCCCCCCAAAAAGCCCTATAAGGTACTCAGGAGTGAACCTAACAAAAGATATAAAAGACCTTTATGGCAAAATCATAAAGTGTTATTTAAAAATCCAAAAGAAAACAAAAGAAATAGAAAAATGCAAGATGGCCATGAGTGAAAAGAGTAAATATGAAGATTTCAATTGTCCCCAACATATTATATAAATTTAGTTTATTCCAACAAAAATCTTAAAATGTAGGAAGAGAGTATGACTTGGTGTCTGAATCTAAAATTCATATGTAAGAGTAAAGGAACAAAATTAGCTAAAAGAATTTAGAGAATATAAAAAAGAGGAATTACCATATCAGTTCTCAGAATTTATTTGAAAGCTATAATAGTCAATTATAATTGTCAATAGTTATTGAGTACTTACCATGTGCCAGGCGCTGTACTGAGAACTTAAGGTGTAGTAGCTCATTTAATACTCACAACACCTCTATGAATTAGCAGTTATTAGCATCTCCTTTTTACAGAGGACAAAACTGAAGCAGAGAATTTAAGGGCATGCTCAAGATCAATGTCGTATCAGTTGTATAAGGCAAATTAACCAATGGAACAAAATAGATTTCTCAGAAATATCTATATAGTTATATAAATATACATGCACAATGTATACATGTGGGTATATACATGTGTATATTTGTGTGTATATTCAATGCATTATATTATATTGGAGACATAGATAGATATAGATATAGATATAGTGATAGGTGGAATGTACAAGGGGGTTCATTACAGGTTCTTTACATTTAATTTATGTTTAAAATATGTATTTGGAAACTACTACAAATAGGACATTGTACCCGTGGACTATGACAGAGATAAAGGCACACCTGAAACCTGTGTAATTTTGTTAACCAATATCATTCCAATAAATTCAATTTTAAAAGCAGGATGTTTCATGTGTTTCTGGCTTGGGTGACAATGTGGAACCAAAGGAAGGGAAGTGACAGGCAGGGGAGGTGGGAGGAGAGGGGGGAGGAAAGGACAGGAGAAGGGGAGGGAGCTGAGAGGCCAGGAAGTGGATAAATTAATTAAATTTTCCAAGGGTCCAATTTTAAATACTTATAAGATATCCAGAGGGAGAAGCCTTGGAAAGAGTTGGAAACATAAATTTACAAATTTTGAGTTAGACAGAAGAGTCATCATTTTCAGTTTACAAGAAGAAGGGAAGAGTATTTTCATATTACATGTGTGCTGTTTAGAGCATGCTCTAAGGAAACAGTGATCCTGACCAGGCATCTGGGGAGAAAGAAAGAAGCCCTGGACATGAGGGCTGGGTGAGGAGGAGACTCAGGGGGAACGAAAACCCGCAACCCGACTGTGGGCTGGAGGCAGAAACGTGGAACAAAAACCTACACAGGGTCAGAGAGAAGGGCCTGCCTTTGACTGCAAGCCCGGGGAAAGGCCTGGTCAGGGGCCGCAAGGAAGCCTCTCCTGGCTGCGTGCTGAAGAGAAACTTGGTCAGAGTTGGGAAACAGAAGGTTTCAAAATGAAACTCAGCTACCGCGGGCTTCCTTCTGCTACTGAGAAGTCACCTGTCTGCTCTTCACTAGCGACAGCGTCAGTTCGTGGGTCCCGAAAGTGTCTTGACTTCCCTGAGCCTTTGCCTCTTGCTCCGTCAGTAAAGGATGATCCTGCTGACCACGGAGGGTCGTCGTGAAGATTAAACCGCTTTGCGGGTGTGAAGCACTTGGCACAGCGTGTTTCTGACGTGAGCTTTTAAGATCCGCTCCCTTAGCAGCTCTCAGTACACGCTAGGGCCCTGCCATCTGTACCGTCCACGCTGTGCACGCGCCTCTCGGGTGTGCCCGTCGGATATCTGGAAGTCCGTGCCTTTCGCCCATCTTCACCCACTGTGTCCACTCCCCGCCCTCCACCTCTGGCAACGCCCCTGTTTCCTCAGACCTCCCAATTTTCTTAACAACCCGCTCTGACAGGAAAGCAACCTGATGCTGGTAAGTCACAGAGCTGGTAAATGCTGGAAGGAAAATGCAAACATTGGTTTTCTGATTATAAATATCACCTTTTCCGCACTGACCCATGGAAATCTTTCACTTTGATTCCATATTTTTAGAAGCTTAAAACCAGAGTGCTATGGGGAGTATAGGAAACATTTTGAATCACAGTTCGCAGATAACATTTTGGAACAGTTGAGCTGTGTTTTGTTAATTTGACTGATTTAAGAGAGAGAGAGAAACACCAACCTGTTGTTCCACTTATTGATGCATCCACTGGCTGTACGGGCCCTGCCCGGAGACCGAGCCCGCAGGGCACCTCGACGGACGGGGCAGCGCTCCAGCCAACTGAGCCACCGGCCAGGGCCGGAAAAGTTCAGCTGCAGTGATTCTAAGCTATCAGTTCGGTAACTTAGGAAGAAGTACAAGGACAAAATGCAGAAATCTGTGCACGTGGCCCCACACTATCTTAGATATTTGCCCAGATTGTAACTGTTTTACTAAGAAGCAAGGAATATGTTAAAACAGCTAATTCTTCACTGTCACAAATGAACATTCAAGCAATAGGCAATTAATCACTAGCCGTTTCTTATGCAAATATTATTTCAATGCGAAATCATTTCCATAAGTGCAACTGTGAAATTCAGGAAATTGAAACAGAACACAGTTCAACTGTTACAAGTGTGCCTTACTCTCTAGATATGTTTCGTAAATGAGAGCTGAATTTTCGAATACAGTTTCCTATTGACTTTCATTTCAAATTTAAAGATACTTTTCCATTTTTTTCAAGTAACATACATATTTTCAGTTACAGACTGTGTTACAGTATGAACAGCCCTATTTATCACGATACACAAAGGAACACTGGCTGTTCCTTTTACAATTAAAGCCAAGAAACATGGCAAAGTGCTTTTAATAGTGACTATTCAGTTATGGTGATTAAACGTGAAAGTCACACTAGCTGGGTGACTTTAAGTTATTTAAACTCTTTAATCCTTAATTTCCTTAACTGTAAAATTTCCTTAACTGATTATCCCTACCTAATGGCATGATTGTGATTATAACATGAAACGCCAGATGCAAGATGCTTCATCCAATAAGTAAGTGCTCAATAAGTAATAACAGTAGAAATAGGGAGAGTAGTAGTGGTAGTAATTGCAGTAGTAATGCAACGGTAACAGTAGCAGTAACAAATAATCAGAATCACGGAGCCCACTGGTAAACGGTGAGACCCTGACCTCATGAGCAATGAGAGGAATTTTGAGGATTCTTCTGAGAGGAAGAGGTGAGAGGAATGATAGGGGAGGGATGCGGGAACCAGAACAAGGTGAGGATTTGGGCCATCCGAGGGGCAAAGGCAAAGTGAGGAACCCCCTGTGGTGGGGCATGCAAAGGACTTTTAAAAAACAAAATTTCTAATTTGTTTTTCTGCTGAATTTGGCCAAGCAGTATGCACAGTGGGACCCCTCCTGGTGACCCCTAAATGCTGAAGAAAGTTAAGTTCCTGACTGAATTCTTTGTGGGAGTCGATTTTTGTAGCAGTTAAGGAAAGGGCGGAGTTTGACAGGGATGGCAGGCACCGACCCAAGAACCAGCCTCAGAGATCTTGAGGTGGACTCTGAACTTCTGCAGGATGTGGAATGGGCACCGGAGTTCATCCTAACTAGATCTTAGAGGAAGGGAGACATAGCTGACATCTGTTAGGCATTTGCTACCTGAATTCTTTTTCCTTCCCATTTATCACCATCACCACCAAATCCAAATTCCCCTGGTTCACTCCTATTCACTGTTCCAACTGTTACTGGTCCAAAGTCCGTGTGTCCGACACTTTGAAAGATCAAAACTCAAAAAGTCAGCTTGGAGTAAGGAAATGTTTATTGATCGAGAAGGCGCCAACTGAGAAGATGAGAGACCTAATGGTGCCTCGAATCCAGCTTCATAAAAGTACAGAGTTCAGGCTCCTTTCAAGTCCAGGGAAGGAAAAAGGGGAGGGGCAAGAGGTGATTGACAATCACCGACATCTGGGCATCAGCAGGGGCCTGAGGAAGAAATCTCTGAATCTCTTTGTTCCCGGTAGGTTGACTCCAGCTGATCTGAGTCTGGGCTTGTGGCTCCTGCAAATCTTTGATAAACAATCATTATTTTTGTACATATTTCCCCCACCCCCGTGGAGAGGCACCTTCCAGCAAGGGCCTGTTTTTGTAAAACCTCAAACTGCCACAGAATTCCTCTCATGATCAGCCTATCTATGTGCAAGAACACGGCGAGCCCGAACAAGGTGGAGTCGGGGAGGCTGAGCAGTTCACTGTTACAAGATGTCAATTTTCAAGTTACTGAAGGTCTTCCCAGGCCCTCCCGTGTCCAGATTAGGTGTCACTGCTCGGCTCTACAATAGCACCCTATTCACTACCCGTCACAGCACTTTTGTGAGTCATTGACTCTCCCCCCAAATAGACTTTAAGCTCTCTGAAGACAAGGACAATGCCTTTTTGTACACACCACTCTGTTCCAAACACAGAGCACTGCACCCAACAGGAATCAGTAAGTCTTCTTTAAAAGAGAAAACACGTTGAAGAGGGAAGGAGGGAGGGAAAAGGGAGACAGTGAGCGAAGCATGACACACTCGCCTTTCTAGAAAGGATAGCCCAGTTCAGCTGGCCATGGCAGGGGAGAACCTAAAACCCAAACACTGACCCAAAGCAAGGTTTGTTCACGACACTCTCACTCCCTGTCCAGGACTGAGCTCTCAGAGCCGTGGCCACCGGAGGAAAATTTGCAGGAGGCTGTCCATGGTTTCTAAGGAATGTACTTTTTTTCATCTTTACTCTCTGGATTAATCAGTTGCTCCAGGAACAAAGACACTAGAAAACTTAGAGACAAAGAAGGCAAAGAGATGTTTCCCCCTCTGTGCGTTTCCTTCCCCTTATAAAGGGTTGGCTTAGCCTGGTGATGATCAGGATCTCTTGTGTTAAAGTGAGATGGGGTGTATGTGTGTGTGTGTGTGTGTGTGTCCCCAAGACTAGAGCAGCAGACAAATGAAAACCATAGCAGTGCCGAGGCTCAAACTGTCAAGAGCAGAGCCCGAGAGCATTCATTCCGAGTATATGGCTATATTGCTAAGAGTTCAACCCAGAAGACTAGAGTGAGTGTGAGCAGACTTTCAGGGGGAAGAAAGGAGCACATTATTTAAATATTACTAGTGGATATTGTTTAAAATATGCAGCTACTTCCACCCATAGCGTGTGCAGCTTGCTTCTGAGAGCCCGTCCAAGCGTGGTGTGCGGGCGAGTCTGTCCAGCTTCAAGCATTGGGGAACGGAGTGAGTAATCACTGCTCTTCGCTCAGCTCTTCATTCCCAAGAGCTGGATAGGCTCCCCCGACGACAGCCTGTGAGTAGAAGGGATTTTAAGTAAACGCTCCCGACACAGACAAAGGTGATGATGCTCACAGTGGAGGCTGGGCAACATTCCAGGACAGATTAAGAAGAAAACTCACCTCTCCAGCTGAAGGCCAGGGGCAAGGGAGAGGGCGTCCTGCCCGGCCCAGGGGCTAAGCAACAGATGCACAGGATTCCTGATGGTGTTTATTAGCAAATGGGGTCCTGGAAATTAAACTAATGATCTAAGGGAGTTGCAATGCCAGAAAAAGGGAAAAGAGAGAGAGAGAGAGAGAGAAAGCTCAGGCCTAACAAAAAAAAAGGGTGAGATTTCGATGGCCAGGAATAGACAGCTTGGGTCCCACGCAGCCCTGCACCTCGGCCAGCTCTTCATTGATGCTCTGAGCAAGTCTGCCTGCTTCAGGCTGGGTTTTCGGAGCTACATGTGTACAAAGGAGAAAGCACTCCAGGAAATTCACCCTGGGGAGACTGAGATGTAATCTGTGACGCAGGATGGAGCCTGGAACCCCAGGGTGGTTGTGAGACTGCAGGGGAAGAAGGGAACATCAGCTGCCTTCGGAAACATGAAGGACAGACAGATGCTCTCACTTCTTGCCTGGAAAGTGCCCCACTTTACCAGGCTCTGAAGCAGAAGGAGACAATGGAACAGGAAATCTGGGAAGACCTGCGCCTCCAGAAAGGATTCAGTCTCTCGGCAGTGTCACCTGGGAAAGACTCGAAGAGGAATTCATTCAAGCGTGTAAGGTGTCATCTTCTTTTCCCCCCTTCCATCCTTAGAGTGAAGATACCAGTTCAAACAAGAAAAATGTGAGGAATTCCCGTGCCCAGTCTGATGAGGTCAGCAACTGTCTACTGCTCAGTGCAGCAGAAAACCTGATTGACCTTTACCAAGCGGTGAGATAAACAATTATACAGAATGGGCACTTTTCCTTTTTATTTAGGGGTATTTATTTTGTTTTTTTTAATTTTTTTTTTTTCTTTTTGGTCTTTTTTTCTGTTTGTTATTGTATGTTTCCTTTTAAAATAATTTTAATTTAGTAATTGTGTATCCAAGGAACTAGTGAAGTTTAATTATTCACGTACAGAGCATTTTAAAAATAAATTTATTAGGTTATCATGAATTTGAGGAATTGGTGGAGTATAGATGCTGAAGTGTTAAGTAATAACCATTTTTTGGTTCAAGGTAAAAATGAAATAAATAGATATGATTAAAAATTAATTACAAAGTTAAAATTAGATTTGTTTTTAAATCTTGCCTATAAATCTTCTAATACTATAATTGAAATACAAATGTGCATGGGCTTTCAAAATTATTTCCCCCTATTTACCTGATAAATACTGACTCAAGAAACTATGTTGAATTCAATCAATTATCTTTAGATCACCTAGTGACAGTTCAATTGTCCTTGCGTAGCTTTGGTTTTTGAGTGCAAACACTATGCTCAGTTTCCCACACAGAGTACACTACTAGCATATGGTACAATGCATGATTTACTACTAAAAGCTGCTTGCAAAGGAGGTCTGCAGAATGAAGATTTCTCAGACGTCTGAGAGGATTCTTCTGCTCCTGCTGTTAAAACATATTTTGTGGATTTAAAATATATTTATGGAACCAGGTCTGCTGGCGTCTTATCGTCTATGACTGGATTTCTCAGTGTGCCAAGTATTTTTTTATGTTGATCATTTTAGTAAACCTTTTTGTATCCCCCGAGTTCTCAATACAATGACACCCTGCCCCATCTGTTCGTCTGTCTCTCTCCTCTGTAAGTCCCCTGCTATGTTGCCAAGGCAACACTACCTGCTACCACATCATAACGAATGGTCAGCCCTTCACTAGACTTCTCGTATCAAATGCAACTCTTGGCTTTCAAAGCCATGGCATTTTATCCTTGGGGTTACGGTTTCCCCTCTCGGAGTTACCTGCCTTGTGAGGCTGGAGGCATTCTCCAGGGCCATCTTCCCACTGTTTCCTTAGCCAAGAGCTTCCTTTCACAGTTAGGAAGCCAATACCACCCCATCTTTCACCCTAGCAGGCTCAATCACCCACAGAAGCATCTAGAGTTATGGGGATAAAAAAACAAACCACTGGCAGGAATGATGTATTTCACAGAACTAGAACAAAAACTTCAGAAATTTATATCAAAGCACAAAAGACCCCTAATAGCCACAGCAATCTTGAGAATTTACAATAGCCAAGATTTGGAAGCAGCCCAAGTATACATCAGTAGATGAGTGGATAAAAAAAGCTGTATTTGCACAATGAAATACTACTCGGCCATAAAAAAGAAGGAAATCTTACCCTTTGCAATGGCATGGAATGGACCTGGAGAGTGTTACGCTAAGTGAAATAAGTCAGTCAGAGAAAGACAGATATCACATGATCTCGCGTTCAGGTTGGACGTCATGAGCAAAATAAACTAACAAACTAAAAACAGACTCACAGATACAGAGAACAGACTGACAGCTGTCAGAGGGGAGAGGTGTTGGGGGCTGGGTGAAAAAGGTGAGGGATTAAGCAAAACAGAACAAAAGCCTCATAGAGACAATGGTATAGCGATGACCAGAGGGAACGGGGTTCAGGGGGAGGTAGAAGAGGGAAAAGGGGGCATAAATGGTGATGGAAGGAGACTTGACTTAGGGTGGCGAATGCACAATATAACATACAGATGATGTATGATAGAATTGCACACCTGAAACCTATATAATTTTATTAACCAATATCACCCCAATAAATTCAATAAAATAAAGAAAAGAAAGAAAACCACTGGCAGGAAGACTCACACCAGTAGTTTTCAAACTTTGGTGAGACCTGGAATAACCCAGGCTTCGTGTTAACAGTTTACCACCTCTGTAATCTGCTCTTCCTTGATTCTAATCAGTAGCTGTGGAGTGCAATCGAGGCTTCTTTTCCACAAGCTCCTGGGTAGATGTACAACAGAGCTTAAGGAAAGTGACCTAGATTTCCTAGTTCAGGGGACACAGAATCATAGTTTAGACAATGTTTTTGTGTGCATAGGACTTGAGTTACCTGCATCAGCATTGCTGGTATATTTGATTGAAAATGCAAATTATTGCTTGGCTGGCATAGCTCAGTGTTTGAGCATTGACCCATGAGCCAGGAGGTCACAGTTGGATTCCCGATCAGGGCACATGCCCAGGTTGCAGGTTCGATCCCCAGTAAGGGGCATGCAGGAGGCAGCCGATCAATGACTCTCTCTCATCATTGATGTTTCTATCTCTTTCTTCCTCTCCCTTCCCCTCTCTGAAATAAATAAAACCATATTTTTTAAGATGTAGATTATTGGGCCCCACCTCCTAAATCAGAATTTGAGCATGGGGTCCAGATATCTGTATTTTAACAATCATGCAATGCAACTGTGATGACACTAGAGAGATCAACCAGACTGGCTCCAAATCCCAGCTCTGCCACCTAAGAAATTATAGCACATTAAAAGAACTTCTCCATATCTTTTTTATCGGTAAAAATGAGGGTGATAGTATCTATCTTATTAAGGGATTATGCACATGAAATAAACAGAAGCCTTGCATTTCGGGCTATTTCTGAATTAGGCATGGTGCACTAGAGAGGACATTTAATAGAATTAGGCAAAACCACCATCTAGTCTGGCCATTATTTCTGAGTAATGATGGAGTCTTTTTAAGGACAACCCGGGGGACCTTCTTCCAACCAAAAGTCATGCTGTAAAATTCCAGCACAGTTTCAAGGGAGAGAGCAAAGGGTCACAGAAGTAAACATGTCATTTCAATCATTTCAGGAATCTACTGATCCAGAAAATATTTTTGTATTTCATAAAAACCTGGATACGGATAGTGATGCACATATACACTCCCAGAAGGGAGAAAGGTAAAGAACTGCCCTGCACAATGGTGTTTCAACACATTTTCTTCCTCTGCATTGCTCCAGCAGCAGGATATTTCCTAGACTTAAGAGGAAGAACACTTCTTTCTACCGGACTCTTGTTTCCTGAGTCACATTAAAGATCTTTCTGCAGCAGTCACTGACCTTCCAGATTTCTAAAACCCTTTGATAATGATGCATCCATAACCAAGAAAGACAGTTACTCCCTGGAGGTTTGCATTGGCCATCTCACAGGTTTGGGGGTGCAAAGTCAAAGCTATCTGGAGTTAGAGTAGAAGCAAAGCATAACATTCTGATTCCTGTTTCTAATTTCAGTGTGGCAGGGTCCTGCTCGGTTGAAGGTTGCTGCTCATTTCTAAATGGCCCTCTGAAAATAAACAACTCACAGAAAAAAGATTCCTCAAAAGTAGCAATGGTGAACTTAAACACCCAGAACCCTTCCCACTGATCAACCTCCTCAGCTAGGCGGGGATGGAGAACAGAGAGCCTGATGTTGGGAGTAACACTAGGAAGACAATTAAATAATTGGAAAATAAAACCTTTGGGGAAGGGCTAAAGGAAATAAGATATTTAGCCTGAAGAAGAGAAGGCTGAGGAATGACCTAATTATAGGCTTCAAGTACATGAAGAATTAATCTACAGCAGATGGTGACCAGCTGTTTTCAATTCCCATCGACTATAGTACAACAGAAAATTGGCTTAGGGGGTAAAATAAAGGATTTAGGATAGATAAAAGAAGGAATTTACTGGGTTTTGAGGGTCACAGAGGTTAAGAGGAGATAGGCTCTATTACTTAGGGAGATGACAGCCACTCCTTCTTTGAGTTTCCTGGTTTGGATTGGTTTGTTGAAGTGCACTGAGGGGGAAAGAGCTTTCTTCTGGCTGGTGAAGGCCAGACCCATTCTGCAGTTGTTCGTCACACCTGTGCTTTATTCATATACCTCCCCATGGTTGTAGTTTTGTTTTGCTTAAGTCATTATGATCAGCTCAGCGGCATTTATCAAGTGCCAAGTGCATGCCAGGCATGGTGAAAGAGAACTATATAGATTTCGCTCTCTATCCTTCAAACATGTGCCATTTGACAGTTCTATGCATTTATTGAGTACCTCTGAGTGTCAGGCACTGTTTCAGGAATAGGGGCTATCCAGATGAATAAAATACAGTTTTTCTCAGCAGCAGTGGAAACTGGGGGAGGGGAGGCTGTGTCTGTGTGTCTGTGTGTCTGTGTGTCTGTGTGTATGTTAGTAGTAGGGGAGGCATGTTATAATCAGGAATTAAAAACACCCAAATGATATGCCTTTAGTGGCCTATCATTCTGATCCATTTACCAAGTCATATTCATCACCTGCAGTTTGAGAACCCCCCTTTTTACTATAAAATGTAGTAAGAAATACATTTAAACTGTGACACAGCATACACACACATACACATACACATATGCATTCATACACACATAGCTGAGAAAAGCTGTCACAGAACATTACTACCACTTTTACGTTTCCTATTTTATTCATTTTTTAATGATGGTCAACTCCAATACATTGATTTTACAACTCTCTAATTGGTTATGACCCAGAGTTTGGAAAACACTAATATGGGGAAGTTTTGCTGAGGCCTGAGGGACAATAATTCATACTTTATGCCTCACTCACAGGGAAAAATGTAGGGTGTGGGTCTAGACTAAGAGAAATAAGCCAAGGGTCTCCCAGTCCTCTCCGAACCTTAAACTAAAAGGTATATATGTTCTAGTCCAAGTCACCAAGGTGAAAGAGTATGGGAACAAGAGTCCCAGGGAGTAATAAAGCCCACCGGGTTAAGGCTTGCTGGGATTGTCCCCTATGTTCCATATCCTTTGGGGTGCTTGGGGCAAGGGCAGTTGACTAAGAAGGTTAAGAAGAATCAGTGGCCTAACAGATAAGACATATTTGAAGTCAAGAAGATATCAAGCCTAGAGGGAGCCCAGCGATATGGAGGAGGTCACTCATGAGACAACACAACAGACACAGCTGCAAAGGACCACAGGTGCTGCCAGCCCCAGTGGCTGCTACAGCTCAAAGGTCATTCTCCCTTAGCAGAGTGAGGGGATGACACAGGTCTACTACTCACTCTGACCTGAAATAATGACACTATAAGTCAGCATCGTATCCTACTACCTGGGGAGCCTGGCCAGTGTGGCTCAGTTGGTTGGAGTGTCATCCTGTGCACCAAAGGGTCATGGGTTCAATTCCCAGTCAGGGCACATACTCAGGTATTGGGCTCAATCCCTGGTTGGGGTGCATATTGATGGTTTTTTCTCTCTCTCTCACTCTTCCTTCCTCTCTCTCTAAAAATAAATAAATAAATAAATAAATTAATTAATTAAAAAAGATATCATCAGGTGGGGATGAAAAATAAATTTAAAAAAATAAATAAATAAATAAATAAATAAATAAATAAATAAATAAATAAAACAAGCAGAAAAGCAGAACAGAAACAGACTCATAGATACAGAGAACAATTTGACGGTTGCCAAACAACAACAAAACAACAATTTCAGTAAGTTGAATCTAGTAATGTAAAAAAAGTTAAACTGTCTTTATTCACTGATGACATCATTTAGGTAGAAAATTCAATAAAATCTACTAGAAAAAGCTACTGGAACTAATAAGTGAATGAAGCGAGGTTGCAAGATATAAGATCAATAAACAATGTAATGGTATTTTAATTTTAGCAATAGTCCAAAATTGAATTTTTAAAATACCACTTATAAAGCATCAACAAATATGAAATACTTAGGGATAAAAAATATAAAAGGTCTACAAAAGATATGGAAGCCTTACATAGTGAAAATCACAAATCATTACAGTGAGAAATTATTGAATACCAAATAAATGGAAATACCTTGTTCATAAATGGAAAAATTAGTGTTAAGATGGCATTTCTCCCCCAAATTGATCTATAGATTGAAACAATCCCAATCAGACCCAGCAGACTTTTTTTGATACAAATTAAAAGGCTCATTCTAAAATTCATATGGAACTTCAACCACCTAGAATAGCAAAGGCAACTTTGAAAAAAAACAACACAAATTTTGAGGGCTAATCCTATGTGATTTCAAGGGTCACTATAAAACTATATTAGTCAAGACAGTGTGCTACTGACATATAGACAAACAGACCATAGAATATTCAAGAAATAGGCTGACACATATATGAACAACTGATTTTTTATAAAGGTGCAAAAGCACTTGTTTCATAGATTTTCAATAAATATATGTAGTAGTGTATCTTGCACTTCTATATAGTTGGAAAGGATTAAGTACCGTGTTTACCTGTAGACATCGTGATGTGTCCAGAGACATCCATTAGTTACTAGATGCCTACTACTTTGTGATGGCGAGATCACAGGCAAGGCAGGTCTCCCAGCAGCCCGGACACAAATCCCTCTTCCTCAGGCAGGCCGGGGCAGCACATCAGAGACCACTACAGGGCACACAAGCAATGGTAGGTAGGGTGACAAAAAGCTTTGTGCCAGGTGCCCCGAATGTAGAGGGTACAACACATTAATGATTTTTATAAACGTTAGTACCTAATTAGTAATAATGACTAGTTAAAATTACAAAGTTGACTTGAGAGTCATTTTATCCTTTTAGCCCAAGTGCCAAAACTGCTAGCTAGAGCTCTGCTTGAGGGCAATTTCTGTGGCTGTAGCCTGTGGGAATCCTGAGTGAGTCATAGGTGGCAGCAACCTGGAGCCTGGCTACCAATTTCAAGGGGATAAAGATGAAGCAACCTGAAGGTATTTATGATTCCCAAGGCTGGGGAGGAATAGCCAGCCCTTAGGGCAAATGGGTCTTTATCTAGATTGACAAGTGTTTAGCCAGATAATGAGCTTAATCTTTCCCTGTGACATGCAGATCTCGTGATTTTTACAGGCAGCCTCACAGCACCGGCTGCAGGTGGGAGGCATGGTACCATGTCGAGTGTTGGAACCACCACACCAAAGTAAAAGAAGAATGTCTTCCCTTCACCTTTCAGGCTTGTCATTAGCCATGAGTCAAAGCAGTTGGCATTGAAAGACTATTACTCATAAGCACCATTTTTTAATGTTTTTTAAGTTGATTTGAGAGGAAGAGAGGGGAAGAGAGAGATAGAAACATCAGCCATGCGAGAATCATCAACCGGCTGCCTCCTGCACACCTCCTACTGGGGATCGAGCCTGAAACCCAGGCATGTGCCCTGACGGGGAATTGAAACATGGCCTCCAGGTTCATGGGTTGACACTCAACCACTGCACAACACCGGCCAGGTGATAAGAACAATTTTTAAAAGAACTTGGTAGGAGAAAAGGCACAGAAGGAAAGAACTTATATGAGTAGAGAATGAACAGCATTATCACTGGAAATATAACATGTGAAGCAGTGATTGGTCAGAACCATAGATGGGGAAAATATTCAGCTGATGAGCAAGTAAGACATAGTGACTAATTCTTAAGACTTTCAGGAGTTAACCTCTAACTGGAAAGGTGTTTGGAAAAGGCTGCACATTAGAGATGAAAATTGATTCACCAGGTGACTCATAAAACCATGAACCTGTGGCTTCAATATTCAGAATGCATTCTGTTTAGGACAAAGTTTCGAATACAAGAGGTTTTTGTTGGTACGGTGGTGGGTTTGTTTTCTTTGTTTTAATCAGAAAAATCCAAGGACCTATACTCTCAAGTTGTCACGTTTCCTTATAATCGTGCATGACTGTGCATATAACTTTGCTCACTCAATTCAAAGATTTGAATTCCAGAAATATAAACTCAGCACTATCATTTTTTTAGTGCATGCTACAGAATAGGGATAAATTCAGGAAAAGTAGAGAAGACTATATAGGTGAGTTATTTGCAGTCAGGCAGACCTGGGTTCATATCCCAGCTCTGCCACTTACTAGCTGTGTGGCCTTAGGCAAGTTCCTTCATCTGTCTGAGCCAATGTACTTATCTGTAAATGGATCCAACAAGAGTACCTATCATGTAGGGTTATCACAGGTATTAAATGAGACCGCACAGGCACACAGCCCAGGAAATAGTATCTATCCACCGAACAGTAGCTGCTGCTACAATTGCTACTGCTGCTGTGTTGTCATTGTTGTTGTGGCGTTGTTGTTATGGTAATATCAAGTCTAAATGTAAGATCCCTAGCAGAAAGGGGACATTCTGATCCATGCTTCAAGAGGAAAGTGTTCTTTAACCTTTCAGGGAAATAGTGTTATCAAGGAAAATGAAGTAAAACAAAGATTAGTTGGGAATCCCACATTTTCTTTCCATTTATTTCTTCCCCAGTGGTTGAGTGAAAGGCAGCTCGGGGGCATGGTTCTTCTCAAACAATAGCTATACCCCAAAGCCTAGGATATAAAGTGCCAGAAAATCCAGCTGCCTCCCAGGGTTTCGGATTAAACATCAATGATGGGGCAGCCTCATTTTCATGTCCTGTTTCAGGGGAAAGGTGAAAGTTGCCAAATTTTGTGGTATAGAGGCTCACATCAGCTCCGCACTAGCTGACTTCTGCTTACCTAGTTTTTCCTTTCACACACTTCAGATTGGCAGGAAGGAGGTCTGTATCACTTTTGCAGTAGGAGTTACTCTTCACCTCAATTCTTTCAGGACTCCTAACCTTTTGACATCAGCACACATGAATTATTGGTACTGTAAAATAAACATTGATGCCCTGGCTGGGTGGTTCAGTTGGTTGGCATCCCAATATACCAAGGCTGCAGGTTCAATCTCAGGTCAGGGCACACACAAGAATCAACCAATGACTGCATAAATAGGTGGAACAACAAATCGATGTTTCTTTCTCTCTCTCACCAATAAATTTCAAAAATATATTGATAACAAATACTTTTTAGAAGGGCTTAGGACAGTCACAGCATAATCTGCATGCCAACTGTGTCATCTTTTGCTGTTTTTACTACTTCTTTTCCAGCAAAGCCCAAAGCAACCTGAACTGCAAGAGGGTTGATGACTTGTCCAAGGTAAAGTGACTGAAGGATGAGCTAGGAGAAGACTTTGTTGTTCCACCTACTTACGCAATCATTGGTTGATTCTTGTATGTGCCCTGACCAGAGATTGAACTCCTAGAACAATGTTTTTTCATTTTCTTTTTCTCTAGTTTTATTGAAATGTTATTGACAAAGAAAATTATAAATTATTTAAAGTGCACATCGTGATAATTTGACACATATATACATTATGAATGGATTCCTTTCATCTAGTTAATTGACACATCCATCACCTCACATATTTATAAACGTTTGTGTGTGTGTGAGGGAACGTTTAAGTTCTACTCTCAGCAAATTTCAGTTACACAAGACAGTGCTATCAACCATAGGCACCATGTTATATATTAGAGCCTTATATACAACAATGTTCTTTCCACCATAATTATTTTTTTTAATCAACAGGCACAAGCATACATCTATACTATATGTCAGACTCTGTGCTCAGAATTAATTTTTCATTTTTATCTCTCTCTCTGAGATGTATTTTAAGGAACTGACACATTGGCACATATGATTGTGAAGGCTGGTGATTCCAAAATCTGCAGGGTACGCTGACGGGCTGGAGACCCTGGGAAGAGCTGGTGATACAACTTGAGTCCAAAGGCAGTCTGCTAGCAGAATTCTCTCTTCATTCGAGGAGATCAATCTTTTTTCTATTAAGGCCTTCAACTGATTACATGAGACCCACCTACATTATGAAGGTAATCTGCTTTACCCCAAATCTACTGATTTAAACATTAATCTCATCTAAAAATACCTTCACAGAAACATCTAGAATTATGTTTGACAAAATATCTGGGTCCTGCCCTGGCCGGTGTGGCTCAGTGGGTTGGGCGTCAACCCGTGTACCAAGGGGTTGCCGGTTCAATTCCCTGTCAGGGCACATGCCTGGGCTACGGGCTTGGTCCACAATGGGGGGCATGCAGGAGGCAGCCAGTCGATGTTTCGTTCTCACATCAATGTTTCTCTCTCTCTCCTTGCTTTCTCTCTCTCCAAAAAGCAATAAACTATTGAAAATATATACATATATATATGGGTCCTTTGGCCTAGCTAAGTTGACACATGAAACTAAATATCACAAGTGGGAAGGGAACAAATGGAAAAGGAAAACAAAGAAAGAACCCTAATGGACACAATACTGAAGAGCCAGGCAAAGCAAGAGCAGGCTAAGGCAGAGAAGAGCAAGGAGAGTGACCACACCGATGTCAGGAGAATTTCAGAAATGGTGCCAATGAAAGCCAAATAAAAAAACAAAACAAAAAGACTACAGTGGTCAGTGGTGGTCAATGACACAGAAAATCAAGAAGATGAAAGGTAACATAATTCACTGGATTTGGGAAACAGGTATTTGGTGATATGCCCCGTAGTTTCAGGGACACAGTGGAGGTAGAAACTAGATTGAAGTCAAATGGAGAAGAAATCGCTAAAAAACAAAAGCAAAAATGACCGCTAGAAATGGCGAGAGTGGAGGGGGTGCTCATGTACTGCCAGAAGTGTAAGTAGTATAAATTTTTCTATCAGAAGTCTTTAATATGATCATACAATTTAGTAGAACTATTCTACTTCTAGAAAATTATCCCAAGTAAATGAATAGATGTCTATGCCAAGATTTAGCTATAAGCTATTTATCTGAATATGGTTTCTAATGGTATTACCAAAAATAAAAATAAAAAAAGGAAGATTCTAAATGTACAATAATCGGGTACTGAGTAAACCAATTATGTTCTATCCAGGGCAGATTTACTGCGAAGATAATGAAAGCTAAGCTTTGGAACATTCACTCGAGTGGACTCCTTCAATACAGTGGGGTATGTTCTCATAATTTTGTACAAATAATTTTATAGTATTTTCCTCAAATATGGATCTCCAGATTGTATAATCTTTAGTCCCCTCCAAAACTGGATCACTTCTCTGTGTAGTCATATAGTTATAAAAATTAAGCCGTGCTTAATAAACAAACAACTCCCCCAAAATGGGCAAATGATTTGAACAGGGATTTCATCACAGAAGAGATGTTGATGGCACAGGGAAAATCAAAATACCACTTCTAACCCGCTAGCATGGCTAAGTTTTTTTCCGATGCTGGTGAAAATGCAGAGCAAATAGAGCTCTCCTACATTACTGCTGGGAACGCAAAATGGTAGCGCACCACTTTGGAAAACAGTTTGGCAGCCTCTTACAAAGTTAAACATATATTTGCATATGACTCAGCAACCTCACCCCCAGGAATTTACCCAAGAGAAATGAAATTGTGAGTCCACACAAAGGCCTGTCCACGAATGTTTAGAGCAGCTTTATTAAAGATCACCAAAGACTGGAAACACCTCAAATGTCCATCAATTGGTGTATGGATAAATAATCTGTGGTACATCCAGATTTTTTAAGATAAATTGGACTTTATTAAAATTAAAATCTTCAGCTATTTGAAAGACATT